TCTTGTCAGTCACAAAAGAAATGTTTCTGGGAGACACTCAAAGAGGATGGAGCTATTTGGAATTATAAATATTATTCAGCATAAACATTCACCGGCAAAAGTAAGTTAACATTCATTTGAACAGATAACTAATATCATGGTAATTTAATGGGAATTTTGAATAGCAATACCAAATATGACTGATAACTACTGTAGTTTAGCTATGACATATTAAATAGCTAGCTAGCCAGCCAAGCTAACTATGAACTTACTGGAATGTGAGACTCTGTGGTCTTATTAACTTCTGTCAGTGATTTTTCATCATGGATATTCAATCCCATTTCAGAGTGTTACAGAAACATTTTCACTGTGTTGTGGTTCACTTCCATTGTTTTGTGACTGGCTTTGCAGTGTTTCTGAACTTTTTCTTGTATTTGCAGTGCATTTGTGAAATGTAGCTCAGGTCTAGTCATTTTGATGAAAGTTGTTTTCACTGTAGTTTATTTTTCATTGTATTGTGTATTGAGCCTTATACTCATTGCTCGTTAGCAGCTCAAAACAATATTTCACAATATTTCACACACAGAGTTCCAACAGCATCCTAGTTAATCTGATAACAGAGTTACAGAAAAATAATTTTATATTTTCTAACAGATTATATTAATTAAAATTATGTGAGTTAATTTTCGTTCTGGCAGAATGGCCACTAGAGAGCCTGCAGAGCGAGAGGTTAAAGAATAATTCCATACACCAACCCGGTATACTATCATATGACAAAAGAAATAATATGACAATGAGATTCCTGGAAAACTGTCAAATTACTTAATTTATAAGTTTGATAAGATTTTCAATTCTGAGGTCAATATTTCATTTGCTTTAATTCTACAGAGCTCTAATTATATGTTTGGCTTAAAAATTTCTCGAACAGATCATATTCAATGCACCAAAAATAACAACCCTTATGATTTACAAGCGACTTCAGAAAAATCCCAACTATTCGATGGTAGTTATATACATAGCATAAACCCCATAAACCTCTCCTCCTACTTTACTGATAGGATGTACCCAAATGTTGAGTTTTGACAGCGGTTTCAGTGGTTTTCAAAAGAGACCCTTGAAGGAGACAGAGGGGGGGTCATAGATACGTTTTTTAATTTCAGTGCACTGTTTTGAATTTTTTTCTTTTGATATTGACAAAATTACTACACTCTCACAATCAATACCAAGACTATTATTACCATCTTGGGACAACCGTCATCCAATAAAGACAAAGGGTTTTCTGCCTCTTTGCTTTATAGCTGTCCCAGGAAATTGAAGAAGAACAAAAGACACACACACACACACACACATACACACACAGGAAGAGAAAACAGAAAGAATATTTGCAAACCAACACTCAAATAATTTCACTATTTAGCTTATTTGGTGTATTCAGTTAAGTTTGAAACTAAAAAAAGGAATATAAAAACCATCACCAAGCCTGGTAAACATATAAAATGTATAAATATGTGGGAAGCAGGGCCTTTTAATGATCAACACCTTTTAGAGTGCCTCACAGAATCTAGCAGAATTAGTAACACATAGACTTATACACACACAGACACAAAGCCTTCCATTATCTATGGAAATAACTACATCACTCCATAATGTGAAGTAAATATAGGCTCCGAGTATCCTTTGTGCATCCTCTGTGTGAATTATAGTAGAGTGACACACCTACACTCCAGAGGGAAACTGATAGCCATTCATTGCCTTTGAGAGGTTTTACAAGTGTACATACCACCCGACAGTCACCAAGCATCAAAGCAGGAGAGAGATATTGCATTTGATTTCTTATCTAGGCAATTTTCAGTGGGACCTACTTAGTAGGCCTATGAGTGGGCTGCCATGTTGCCATGGTAATGATGTTCTCTCCTCTGCTCTTCTGCTGAAAGATTTGTGTGTAGAGTGACACCATGTGGAGAAGAAGGGCATGGAAAACCAAAAGCCAATTAAAAGCAGACCTAGGGTCACACTTAAAAAAGATGGTTCTTCAAAGGTTCTTTTGTAAAGAAAATGGTTCTATATAGAATCATCAACAATCAGAGATCTCTTTGCTTGATTAATGGGTTCTTTGCATCGTAAAAGGGTTCTTTAGATCGAAAGAGATGCTGTAGATGGTTCTATATAGAATCTTTTTGAAAAGGGTTCTTCTATTGCAACAAGCTTGGCATTGTTACAGTAGAGGAACCCTTTTTGAAGCTATATAGAACCCTTTTCAATGTAAAGAACTCTTTAATGAAGCAAAGAACCCTTTAATCAGGCAAAGTGTTTTTTGATTGTTCATAGTTCTATATAGAACCCTTTTCTTTGCTAAAGAACCCTTGAAGAACCATATTTTTAAGAGTGCAGGCTTAGCATTGCAAGAATGAGCCTAACTCCTGGTGTTTATGTTCAAACACCTGCTATGTCATCTTTGGCTGGATTCCTCAAAATGTCTGCAGGTTCTATTGTTACCAGTAATAAGCAGGCTGACTATTTTGCCTGAAACCCCAATATTGACTTCACTCATGCATTCATTTTTCCCTTTTTGAACTGTTTTAGGAAACCACTGACTGTAAAAAGTGTGATGTTCATATATCCCTTGCTTTGGGATTGATCTGGGGAAAAATGCTGGAAAATATGGGAAATGGGTTCAAACAAAGTTTAATAAAATATGATATTAGTCTGTAAAACACAGAAATATATAACATTGCTGTGGGAATACATGTGCTATGAATACAATGTGGAAGTCAGCTCAACTCCACATATTCCTTTGATCCAACTCACAAAGGATTATCAGGTGTGCTGGTGTGGAGAAGAGTTGGAACTGTGCATGGCAGCAGGTCTCTATGACTGGAGGTGGACTCCCTATCTATAATGGAGTAAAGTACTGTGTGGACAACATAGACAAAACATAACTTACGTAAGTTATGTAAGAGACAAAGAGAAGCCAGGTTAATTGAGGTACATCAATAAGTTAACTTACTTTAAATATTTTACTTTCATTTGTCAACTTAATAAACAGCTTGTATGTGTACTTGAGCCATTGTATGATAACTAATAATACACACACACACACACACACACACACACACACACACACATACACACACACACACACACACACACACACACACACACACACACACACACACACACACTGTGACTGCACTACCCACTGTGCCACCGTGCCTCGCTAATAAAATAATAGATTTTATATAACTAACTAACAGTTCATAGTGGATAATCATTACCAGCTGTCTTTAATGAATTGACTAAGCTGGGCGGTTAGGTATGTGGCTAAATAACAGGTCATAGCTGTAGTTATAATCATATTAGGAATCCTCACTGGACTATGTCTGCAGTGCTTCTGAAGTTGCTCAATGTGCTTTTTGTATTTGCATGATGCCAATGAATTTACAGTGCATTCATGAAATGTAGCACCTGTGTTGTCATGTTGATGGCCATGATTTCTGCATTTGCATTGTGTCTATGTATTTGAGGTTTGTTTAACGTGCACACGTTGATTTTCTTTTAAGTGAAGTTGAAAGATTTAGATTTTTCATGAGTTTAATTTTTAATAAAAAAAATGCATTTTAGAGCAGGAAGTGAGACTGCATCCCTGTTCCTCATGGCCACATGGTAAGCAGTTAGATTTCATTTTTTTAAGTAAATATGTCCCAAAGTTTGAAAATCAGTACATAATCTTAAGAATTGTCACGACTGAAACACATATTTTCAAAGCTGTGTTTGCTTATTATAAATCAGATAACATTTTTCAGTTCTGCTCAAAATTAGTTAAAATTGTCATCACTGAAACAGCCACTACCAAAACATTTGGCACAGGTTCAGTAGTGTTATGATTGTTTTGGTAGAATGTTTATTCAATCATTTGTTTTAATAAAATTAACATAATGAAGGTATGGAGTCACCCAAAAGCACAGGAAATATTTCTATGGATTTTGGACAATAATAATTTAGTAATTTATATATTGTCACTATCAAAAGACAAAAAACTAAATTTTTGTTTTTCTATGTCAGCTGAGCTGAGCAGCTGCCCCTTAAATTGTGTGAGAATTTTATGGTAAATGGACCAATAGAAATGCTCCAAAATTGCTTAGAATAAAATCTCTTCGCATTAACTTACATTAAAAATAAGGAACTTTTCCCCTTTTTCCTTTAAAGCTGCCATTTTGGAAAAACTTTTTTTTTAAGAATTAGAACTGAAGAGTGGGAATGAGGTCACTAGGTATTTGTAACTTAGCAGCTGCAGTACTTAATCATGTACATTGTATCTGCATTTTACTGAATAATGGTTTTCAATTAATATAGAAAACACTAATGAGAACAGTGCAAAGCAAATAAGATATAAATTTAATTTATAATTAAATCCCACTAATAAACGCACCAGAAGGTTAGCACAACTCTTTTGGCCTATACACTACTCCACAAGGCATGCAGTTCCTTCAAAAAGCTCACTGACCTTTGCTTTCTGTGCATTTATCCCATGACTTTCAAATACATTAAATACGTGTTTAGGGTTCTTACAGAATAAAGTAGTTGTGCGCTGAACTCATGAACTAAATACATTCTTTAGAAATTAATTTCTCATTAATTTAACATTAAAATGTGGAAACAAGCAAACCATAGAGATTCAGCAGCTTTAGAATGTGTCTGTGGCCCTTGTTTACATTTTCCCCGAAACCACGGATCAAAAATGAAGATTCCCAAATTTGTAAGGCAGCCATGTTTGACTTCTCACTGCTGTGATTTGATCTTTTTTCCACCATAAATCTTAACACTGCACAGTTTAGAGCACGGACTGCAGTTTTTAGCCCCGTGTAATGAGCAGTAAAAGTGTTTAATGTGTAAATGTTACTGTTGCCGTTTCGCAGCGAGGCTCTCTAAGGTCACATTCACGGCCATTTCACATTCCGTTACAGTAGGGGGCGCTGATGTATTTTTCTGCCGGTTTTAAAAGACGAAGGAGACGAGTGACTTTTCATCTAGACATGGCGACTCCCTATAACACATGAATTAAAACATGATCGAGCTGTGAATGTCTGTATATGGAAGGTCTGTGAACCCGTGTTATTGAGGATTAGAGATGGCTCATTTTATTTCTCTATTCTGAACACGAATATTGTGTTGTCGACCCAAACAGGGGAGCTAAACAGGTCTAGATCTAACTTATTAGACTAAGTTGAGTTTAGCCGCTTGCTATGCAGCTGTTATTGAGACCGGTGGTCAGTGTCTTTTCGCTCGCTGGCCGCTCTCCTCATCTTAAGATCTGTAGAATAAAGCGGAGAACTCAGGGGTCCACACAGCCCTTCACTCTGATCAGACACAGATGGATGAAAACGGGCTGTCTGTCCACTGACTGTGCGAGACAGTACAGCTCAACCGCTCAGAAGGTAAATAATGTTCTCAGTAAAGGAAAATAATCACTAAATTATATATGATGCATAATTAAATGATTCTGCCTAATGTTTCCTGAGCAGTAAGTTAGACGTACCTCCCTGCTGGGGGAAAAAAAAACCTGACCAACCTGAATGGGTGCTGGGTGACCAGCATCCAAAACACATGTGCAGGTTTTGCTGGTGAACGGCAAGTTAACTTCTACTGCTGGTTGACCAGCATACCAGAATCCAAAACACAACATGTGCTGGTTTTGCTGGTGACCAGCCATGCTGATCTATGCTGGTTTTTGTACCAGGGCTGTTATTAACCATAACAGGGCGTAAGCTAGCTAGATAGAAAACAACAGGGCTATGAAATAATATTCAATAAAATATCCTGAAATAATGAAAAATAACGCTGTTAATACAGATAAAGTGTAATAAATATGTAGTAAAATCATCTGAGATCACAAAGCACTTATTTTTGATGATTTTCTTTCTTTCAGCAACAGATTGACATGTCAGAATTTCCTGTGGACAGAATAAGAAATTTCAGCATCATCGCTCATATTGACCATGGAAAAAGCACGCTGGCTGACAGACTGTTGGAGATGACAGGTGTTTTATGTCCCCAATCTTTCTTAGCCACTGTACAATCCTAGTCTGAAGGTCTGTGTGGTTAACTTTGCATTATGATCCTTTGCCCTTTATTTTATGCAGGTGCCATTGCAAAGACTGAGCGTAATAAGCAGGTGTTGGATAAGCTCCAGGTGGAGAGAGAGAGAGGAATCACTGTAAAGGCCCAGACTGCCTCTCTGTTCTATCAGCATGAAGGACAGACTTACTTACTCAACCTCATCGACACACCGGTCAGCAGAGGAGGGGGGAAAAAATCACTGTTCGCGTTAATCGTATAGTTAAAGGGAAATTTGCATAGATTTTTTAAACAATTCTGCATAATTAAATCAGTAAGATGTAAACAAAATCATTGAAAGATGTAAACAAAGTCCAGCACAAACCAGCTCTCTGATGTGAAGTGCGATCAAAAGAAACTTGCGGAGTTAAAATTTTTCAAATTGTTGTGGCGATAGGAACCAGACGTCTGCAGCATTTATTTCCTCTAAAGCTAGCTCATAGAAAGTTATCAGATGAAATGGCTACAAATCTATTGCCTGATGTCCTGATTACATTGTTTTACGATTGTTTTTTGCTCTTCCCAGATTTACCACTATTTCACCATCATATTTACAAATAAACACTCAGCAGACACGCGTAGGTTCACTGGTTGTTCTGGATAGTACAAAAATGGCTATATTTGCTTTGTAGACATCACAACCTCTGGTTCCTAATACCACTATTATGAAGCAAATACGTGTTTGATACTCTGATTGACTTTGTTGACATCTCAGTGATTGAATGATGCAGTTATGAAAAATCAGTGTAATTTCCCTTTAAAATTGTAAATAGTATAGTTTAAATTAAAATGAATGAATGACTGTTTTCCCTTATTGTTAACTGTCAAAATCAGAGCAAATAATAAAACACTTATATTAGTTTTGTGTATTTGTCAAGTATTTATGCTTTTAAGCTTAAAAATGTTTCAGATCTGCATGAACCCTGCTTAAAGTCTTCAACCCTGAGGTCTTCTGTTTTTTCTGTGTTTAGGGTCATGTTGACTTCAGCTATGAGGTGTCACGCTCCATATCGGCCTGCCAGGGAGTTCTGCTCATAGTTGATGCAAATCAGGTAGAACTGTTTTTCAACCCATCAAAGGAATACTTCAAATACCTAAAAATGTGAATGTTGGTAATAATAAATAAAGGCTGCAAAAATAGAGACATCTTATGATTGATTGATGCTAAGTTGCTAACAGATCCTGACTTGCTTTATTCACCATTAGCCTTGTTAGCATTTTCAAGTGAAATTTTCATTTTAAGAGAATTAACAACACCGGCCTGAAAAGCATTCTTTCAGTGCTAGAAGCTGCTTATGGGCATTTTTATACATATTTTATACAATCTTATAACACAATATTTCTTACAAACAATATAGATATAACACTAATATACATGCTGAATCACACTAAAAATGTGAAAATAAATGCAGTAGAATATTTGCATTACTTTGTGCATTGTGACTTGTGTTATATGTTTATCTGTAACCCTTAAAGGGAATACAAGCACAAACTGTGGCCAACTTCTACTTGGCTTTTGAAGCTCAGCTCACCATCATACCTGTTATAAATAAGGTAAGCACATAAATTCAAATTAAAAACTTAAAATAATTTATTCTTCAATAGACAGTTCAGGTTACATAAACAAATTCTTTGACTTTGCTATCAGATTGATTTGAAAAATGCAGATCCTGACAGAGTGGAGAAGCAAATTGAAAAGATCTTTGATATTCCAAAGGAGGAGTGTATCAGGGTGAGTACGAGTTGAAGTGAAAAATGTTGTTTTACTATATGAAATACAATGCACTTAGTTTATTTACAACACATCTGTACAGGTGTGTTGCTAGCATTGGCACTGTGGCATCAGTTGTAATGCCAAGGCATTGTAAATGATATACTCAACAAACTTGTGTAGTTACTGTTTAGTTATGACTTTTGGAAATCTTTGTCTTTAGATTTCGGCAAAACTCGGAACAAATGTGGATCAAGTTCTTCAAGAGGTGGTGAAGAGGATACCTCCGTGAGTTTACACCTGATGTTTTTGGAGCCTCTTTTTATGAATGTGCTCTACGTAGTCTCTAATATCTCTCTGTGTTTTTGGAATTGACTGTTTAGTCCCACGGCCAAAGTTGAAGAACCATTTAAAGCTCTGGTCTTTGACTCCACTTTCGACCACTATAGAGGAGTGGTAGCCAATATCGCCGTATTTGGAGGACAGGTCTCTAAGGGAGACAGAATCGTCTCAGCACACATGGGAAAGACGTATGAGGTCAATGAACTGGGAATCCTGAGACCAGATGAACACCCCACAGAGAGACTGTAAGAAGCCCTGCTACATCTGCAGCAGTGGTCACTAACCCTGGCCCTGGAGATCTACCTGCCTGCAGAGTCTAGTTCCAACCACAGCCAACCACAGCTGCTCCAGCTAATTAACTTCTTCAGAAGTCCTTGATTGTCTCAGAATCAGGACTGTTAGGTGAGGAGGCAGCAGGTTGGAATTAAACTCTGTGGGGAAAATAGAACTTCAGGAGGAGGGTTGATGACCCCTGATGTATGGCTTAGTTTAGGCAAACCTAATACTAATGTGTTAGTTATATTTTGGAGTATAAAAATATTTTAGTCAGTTGAACCAGTCTTTCTGTTTGATTAATGTGAGAATCTGGGGAGGAAATTAAAGTGGTAGTTTGCAAGATTCAAGGTTTTTGTCAGAAAAATCCCTATTCTTCATAAATAAATATGATATACCTGTACAGAAATTACCATAAAGTTCGAACTTTCTTTGTGCCCTAACTCTGAGTTTTGATCTCAGCTACGCGGGACAGGTGGGCTATGTGATAGCCGGAATGAAGGAGGTGAAGGAAGCTCAGATTGGAGACACCCTGTATCTCCATAAGCAGCCAGTAGAGGCGCTGCCGGGCTTCAAACCTGCTAAATCCATGGTGTTTGCAGGTATATTTACTTGAAATACAACAGATTATGTTGTCTTTTTCTGGATTATTGAATTACATACAATTGTATGCAAAAGTTTTGGCACCCTGGTCAAATTACATGTTTTATTGATTTTCTAAGTGAAAATAAGTTAACACATCCTCTACAGAGAACACATTTCTGCATGTTTTAATGCACAAGTACTATTTATTTGCTGAATTTAACATATTGGGGGAAAAATAAAACACAAAATGTGGCCTGTGCGAAAGTTACATTTTATATTTTATGTTTTATTTTTTTAAATATGTTAAACTCTAAAAAGAAATTGTACACTAAAATCCCATATTGGCCAGGGGTGTTAAAACCTTAAGTGTTTTAATACCTTTGCATACAACTGTAGCATTCTCCATACATACTCATGGAATTACATAGAGTAAGTGCTCCATCAATTCTAAGTGACTTGAAAATTTGTTGTTTTCTTTCTCTTGATGAGGCCTGCCTTGTCAGTGATAATGTGATTAGAGTTTTGTGTTATAAATGCAAACTATGACAAATTATGGTGTCTTTTAGTGCCTACACAAAATGACTAAACATCTTCAAAAAAGCAGCCACATCCAGTGCGTCATGAAGTACTAGAGGACCAAGCCACTGTTCCAAATGAATGGCAGTAAATTTGTCATGTTGTAGGTATCTATCCAATGGATCAGTCAGAGTACACAACACTGCGTAGTGCCGTGGAGAAGCTGACTCTGAATGACTCCAGTGTGACTGTGCAGAGAGACAGCAGCCTGGCCCTGGGGGCTGGGTGGAGGTCAGAATCAAATGCATGTAGTCACACCACCCCTACTGATGTTACAGCAGATCTGTTTATCTGTGACATGATCATATTCTCACACAGATGCTTATTCTCTTTCACATTTACTTAGATTGGGATTTCTGGGTTTATTGCATATGGAGGTGTTTAACCAGCGTTTGGAGCAGGAGTATAACGCCTCTGTTATAGTAACAGCTCCAACAGTGCCATACAAAGCTGTTCTGTCCTCCCCCAAACTCATAAAGGTATGATTTGTACTCTTTTATACTCTTTTAAACCTCAAAAGCTGAAAGCTGTTAGGTTTTCATTTTGATATACTGTTGATGTGTGTATGTAATTACATATTTAATCCATAATCACACAGCTAGCTACATTTACAGTAATTTACGTTCTGTATTGACAGCTTTGGATCTGTGCTTTTTTCTATTTGTTTATGTTAAATGACAAAAAAATGTATGTAAAGTATAATTTTTTTTTCACAAAACAATTGAAAGTTTAGAATCCGAATGCCAGCAAAATTTTGCAGCTTGTTTGAATGAGCTATAAGTCAGTAATGTAAGATAATTAATATTAAATTGCACCAATAAATTGCTTTTAATATCTCCAGTAATAAGAGCAACTTCTAATGGTTAATGTCCTTTAAATGTTATTCATACTGAAATACATAACAGAAGATACAACCTCTTAAATAGGGGTGGGCAGCATGGCAAAAATGTCATATCACAATATTTAAGACGTTTTCATGGTACACTGTAAGTATCACAGTGTTTTGACACACAGACCCAATGTACCTGTAGTGTCACATTAAAAAAACAGCCTTCCAAAACTCTGAGTACAATGATTTTAGTCCAACATTTCACATACTGTTCTGCGCTAAAACCAATTAAACAGGACTATTTATGCTCTTTTCTAGTGAAAAAGTTGTTCAGTGTTTTTTGTATGGGCGATATCCAGGATATGCTCAGAAAAGCATTGTCAAGATAATGAAATTTATCTCGATAACAATAAAACATTGTCATATTGCCAACCTCATAAGGGGAATGTTTTGGGTATAGTATCTACAAACATATGTCAGAATATTTTGAGGATGGCAGGACATACAGATTCTCTGTTTGAGCCACTGATCATGTTACTGTGCTGTGCAGGAGTATGGGGAGGAGGTGGTGACCATTGTAAACCCAGCCCAATTCCCAGACAAGTCTCAGGTGGTGGAATACCTGGAGCCAATGGTGACGGGAACTATTATCACCCCTGACGATTTCACCGGAAAGATCATGAGCCTCTGTCTGGTGAGATTTTAAAACTCTTTGAAAATTCTCTTTTATACTTTTGTAAACTTTAATGCCTTCCTTAGCAATTCAAAGCTGTCTTGTCCTCCACCAAACTCATAAAGATATAATTTGTATTTGTTCTTTTATACTCTTTATACCAACAGTTTAATTGTTGAGCAAAATAGGACAAAGAACCGTGACACTTTGTAGGTAACGATGATTCTTTTTCCATAAGAAGAAGAGTCTGTAGTTTGTCTTCTGCTGAAGTTGTGTTCAAATCGATACTCATTCTATTGAGTGATTATCCTCTGACTCCAGTGCCTCTCTTCTAATTGCTTTTAAATTCAGGACTAATTTGCCTCTGACAAAGAGTAGTGAACTTTCAGCTACCATAACACAATTTAATGCTTCTGTTCAGAGCCGCAGAGCCATTCAGAAGAACATGGTTTACATTGATGACCATCGAGTGATGATGAAGTATCTGTTCCCTCTAAATGAGATTGTGGTGGATTTTTATGACCAACTTAAATCCATGTCCTCAGGATATGCGAGGTAATATTACTGATAAGCTTTGGTACAGTTTTTCAGTAAGTCTTCTGAGAATTGAACCATCACTTAAGTCTGATTCAGCATTTTGACACTATAGTGCAATTTTCTTCTTCAGCTTTGACTATGAGGATGCTGGCTATGAACCAGCTGAACTCATTAAGATTGATTTCCTGCTGAATGGGAAACCAGTGGAAGAGCTCACCACTATTGTTCACAAGTAAGTTTAGCAAGATGCAAATGCATGACTGGTGATCTGAGTAACCAACATCCAGTTGCACTTGGCAGCACTTTATATGGTTTCATGAGAGTCTTTTGCTGTGTTGCTGCTCCCAGAGACCGAGCATATAGCATGGGGAAAGCCATGTGTGAGAGGCTGAAGGACTCCATTCCTAGACAGATGTTTGAAATTGCTGTGCAAGCAGCTATTGGGAGCAAAGTCATCGCCAGAGAAACGTGAGTATTATTGCCCATGTCTTAACATGGGCTGTATTTAAATGCTTATTGTCCTAAAGTTTGGTTTGAAGTATTTATTTATTTCTGTGTCTTTCCTCAGGATCAAAGCATACAGAAAGAATGTTCTTGCAAAATGTGTAAGTGTCTTTCTGTTACTTGTTTATCATACTTTTGTTTCCAATTTTATTGATATACAATACTGTGCAAAAGACCACTTTTTTGTTTATTTAATTTCCAATCAAAGTGGACTTTCGGTATAAGTTATGCACTTTTTATTTAACATATTACACAGAACACTCCAAAAATAAAAATGATATCTAGTTTTTCAGTATTTCCTGTTTACATTCTTTTCTGAGAGTTTGAGAAGCTGATTAAATTTTCTGCTTCTCACAATTCAAGTAATGCCAGTTACAGGTTTAGAGTCACTGGTGCATAAAACTTAACAGCTACAGCTACACATAGCGTTGAGTTGTCTTCTCATGGTGAAAGGATGGACAGAAAGACCTGTGGATTTTTTTGTATCTTAAGCTAAAGTAGAGTTTTATTTTCTCCTCTCTCTTAAAGATGAAAGCTTTACTGTTTATTTGATGGTGACAGTTTTGGTGGTCTGCCACGTCTTGCATGGTTGTTAGGAGTCACATTTTCTCTATCTTTTAATAATTTTTTGCACTCCAATTTTGAAAACTCCTGTTTTTTCACTTGTTTTCTTTTGACTTTCCTCTTCCCTAGACAAGGAATTATCGGTTGTTATATCTAATGTCCTCAGAAACATATCCTTTAGCCATTTTAGATGCACAAGAGAAAGAAATCTGTGAGGCAGCTAATGCATGTTTGGATAGTTGCCTGTGTGAATGTTAGTGTCTCTTTGAAGGGGAACTTCAGAGACTCCCTTGGGAACAGCTTTTGTTGGGAGGGCACAGCTGTAACTGGTTTTAAGATTTAAAAGATGGACGGGTTAAAGTGGCAGTAGAGTGCACAAAAGTAGAGAGTGGACAAATTAAATAAAGATGGGTATGATATACTTAGAGTTGGAGGCTTTAGTGTAATTTTCTTTTAAATTCATGTTTTCTGCTTTTTATTTTGATGCTGAAAAATGAACTTGTATTTATGTTTTCATTGTTTTGGCTGCGAAATACAAGGGCCATCTCTGACTTTTACACAGTACTATACTTATTTGACTGTTGTATAGTTATTTATTCTGCTGTTTCCAACAGTATGGAGGAGATATCACTCGAAAAATGAAACTGTTGAAGAAGCAAGCTGAGGGCAAGAAGAAAATGAGGCGCATCGGCAATGTGGAGGTCCCAAAAGATGCTTTCATTAACGTACTGAAAAGGAAGTAGAAGTTACATTGCATCGAGTTTTAACAGAGCCTGCTAATATATTTATCTCTTAGCTGTGGAAATGAGTGATGGACACCTTGAAATATGAATTATGTGTTTGTTTTAAAACGCTGCTACTGACTTGTATAATTAAGAATAGACTTAAATTATGTAACGACTATTTGAGGAGTATTTTACTACATCATGTTTCCAGTGGTTTTCCCTGCTCCTAACACACGATCCAACCAGTCAGTTCATTAGCACATTACAGAAGGAAAACACCAATGTGCACAGGATAGCATTTCAGGTTGACCAGGGTTGGGGATCAGTGTATTAAATAATTGGGTAACACTTTCTTTTACAGTCCCTCACTGTCTACATGTAGACTGGGTAAGTATCAACTCCAAAGCACTAGGTAGTTATTATGGGTTAAAATGGTTACTGGGTGCTTAACATTTACTTTTCTGCTTAAACGTGTGACATTTGACTTTGTTTGTGCTTCCCACCCTGTTACTACAAATAATTATCTAATACACAGAGACCTCACTATGTCCATTTTCAGCTTAATAGCTACTTACACAACAAATGCAAGTGAAATCATCTTAATCAGTCATCAATATCAAATATTTGTCATAATGAGATTGTTGTGAAAATAGAATAAGATTTAACTTATATTTACTTACTTTATTTCATTTTATCTAGTGCAGTTGTCTTATTCTATCTAATTTTTTCTTGTTTTAAGTGATCTTTATTACAGTTGTATGTAATAGGTTTGAACAGCCCCAGTCAAATTATGTTTGGCTGATTTTCTAAGTGAAAATAACAAGTTATCACATCTTTTACAGGGAACACACTCAAATATGGCATTTTTGTGCTAATTGTACTGTACAATTTCAGTTTATTTTCTGAGTTTAAAATATTGAACATGAAATATAAAATGTGCCATATATATAAATTTAAATAAAATAATTTAAATTATATTTAAATTAAATATAATTCTTAAAGCAGATGTGCAGTTATGTTATCTGTAGAGGATGTGTCAACATTTTCACTATTACCAAAACATACATTGACAATGGGTACCCAAACTTTTGCATATGATTGCATTTGCCAGTAGAATAAGATAATTGCTTAGATGTTTTCACTTGCCAAGGTGTTTTTTTTTTTTTGGTAGTGTATGCACTTTTGTGTAATTTAGTTAGACTGACTGCTTAATGCTATTATTTTACTCAACATAGTTACACAGTACTTTGGGGTTTGTATCTCAAACTTACCCATTTAATACAAAGAACCTGGTTGGTGTTTCCCTGTAATATAAATTTAACTGTCTTGGAACGTACTTTACACCATATTCTTTTAAAGTTAATACCTAGAACTTGGAGGACTGTAAAGGAAAGCATACAGTGATTGTACATAACTCCAGTACTTGACAATATGACCATTTAAACAAACAAATAATTCATTTATTTCATTAAGACAAAAGCATCTCAACCAAAAAAAGTTTATTTATTATCCCTACAACCATGTAAAATAAGATATGAAAGGCAGATTTGGCGTAAGTGCAAATCTGGTAGCATTTTTATGTTGAGTAAAGAGGTGAATGGAAAAATTTTTAATAAACAGAAAAGAAATCATGTTAATATCCCTGTTGACATCCATATTCACAGGTACTTTTTCATCAGATTACTCAAAATACTGAAGTACCAAAGAAATACAATCAGACTTTTAGAAGTAACTACATAATTAAGCTTTAACATTCCAAGCATTAACATGTTTAAACATGAAAGCAAAAGAGTGAAATTAAAATGTGCTGGCTGCCATGACCTCTTATAACAGTAAAACAGCAGAGAACAGCACAGAAAAAATAACTAATACACAAATTTGGAAACGTATACAGAACATGCTCATGTTAATGAGGCTCAGTTCTGTTTAATCAATGGCACTAAAGTTTAAAGTGTTTATTTTCCGGAACAGAAGACCAATGTCACTCAGCAACTATCATATAACAGATTCTTTCTGATCCCAACAAAGTGTCCCAGATAAGAAGTTTCAGAAATAGGAGAAAGACAAAGCAGTTAATACTGGTCCCAAATAAACACGCAAGTCACTCAAGTTTACCATAAATTGGTCTCTAACACTGAACGCTAACTCCTTTTAGTGTTGAATTCAAGGGGCAATCCAGAGCAGTGCTTTCCAATTCCATCACTGGAGTGTTCTGGACACTTTTAATAGAGGGAATACAGGGCTACCTCATGAATTTCATGGGTACAATGACAGTACGGTCACCAGTAATGAGCTCTCTACCATGAAGTAAAAAAACTCTCCGAAGGAACTTTTTTTTTTGTGGTACATGGCTGAAACAACCACCACTATGCTACAGTTCTGGATGGAGTGAGCTAAATCATCTTAGTTAAGAGTTTTTCCTCATTCTTGCATACCTGATTCATCATTTAAAGGCCTTATTAATTAGCTAATGGGTTGAATCAGAGGAGTGTAAGAGCAGTAGAATGCAAGATTACTCCAGGACTAGGACTAGGAAACAGTATTCTGGAAGAATCTGGAGGAATTGAGACCGATCACTGAAGACTAAACGTGAGTAGTTTTACTTTCCAGCAAGTAATGTTACAGTAACCACATGTAAAGGCTCTGAGATCCAGTCCATAACAAAATCCTAAAAGGCTGGAGTGCTGCAGGATATATACATTTCCAGTTTTGAAAGAACAAAAAAGGAGTCAACAGTGTAAAGCACCTCTTGTAACCCAAGACAGACATCATGCAAAGCTAAATTTTATGCTGAACTGGATTATTAGGAGTAACAAATGTCATGACTTTTTTGTTTTACAAGTAACACGTTCCAGTCATGTCAAAAGACAGTACAAAATAAATGGCACGTTAATTGAAAAATGAAATGGGCATTGGAGTTGACCAGAGTGAATTCAAAATTGTTTCATACAAGAGTTAAACCTTAGTAACAATCAAATGCCAAAACTGATTTCCCTTAAACTGAACTTTCCATAAAACTCAGACCACATTATTGTTTTTCTTCATAAGACTGGCCTACCCTATTGTTTCAAGTTGGCAGAGAAGAAACGTGCTTTTCTGGAGTGCATTAGGAAACCACTGCAGATCAAGCATAAGGATAAGTCCACAGTTCAAATGCAAAGACATCTACATAGATCAGTGGGACATGCTATTCTCACTGTTTTTTTCAGCCACCTTTGTTACATTCGGAGGTTGCTGCGGTCTCTGAAACCATTTTCTTCTATTGTAAACTGGTGCAAATATTTTGTTTCGCTCCCTTAAGACATAAAATTGCATGTCCCAATCCTTAATCCTTATAGTTCTTCATGCTGTGCATGGGCTCCACCAGTTGATTGTGAACATGCATTAGCCCTGTAATAAAGAACACATGATTAAATGATTAAAAATCAGTGGCAGCAAGGAATTATTAATATAATCAGGAATTGGGGATTGTTATTTGAACACCGTGCTTATACTGAGCATGTTCACTGCTGGTAATTATTCTAAAACGTTTTATGTCTATATTAAAACCTAACCTGCTGTAAGGAAATAAAAGCATTAAGGTACAAGGGTGATTATTAAGAAGTTCAGCTATCAAGATGGAAAAAAATGTTGTGGAACCAGGAAATAGTTGTAAGCTGCATTAAGGGAAAAGAAGTAGAACTATTAAGATGCAACAAATACTGTGGAATCAAGAAGTAGTAAATAAATACTGCATTGTGTTTACTGAGAGAGAAAGTAAAGCGTTCCATTACATCATCGACAGCTACAATGCTGGTTTTAGTCATATGAGCTCACAGAGCACGGACAAACTGCTCAACAACGATGTCTTTGAAAAGGCAGACAACAAACTTTATGTAAATAGGCTGTTAGGCAGAATTCAGCCTCAGTCTACTCTGTACATGACCTAAAATGCAAGTGTGCTCACATACCTTTGAAATACTTCACCGTCTTGACCCTGAGCTCGAGTGTTGCATCCTCATCACAGACGAAGATGGTGCGAGGATGCTGCTGGAAGGCAGATACTGTCCACATGTGGTTCACCCCCTCCTCTATGGCCTTATACAGGGCGAAGGCTTTGTGCGCACCAGTGATCAGGATCATAACCTGCAAGTGCAACACAGGTCACAGAATTCTTTACACTACAGCTGTGATGCTCTTAGAACCAGGCAGGTAATATGAGGCAGGTAACGTGTTGATTGCGGCAATCAGGTGATATTTGGTATGCAGAATAAAGATAAACAGCGATTCATGCGCTAGTGAACGGTTACTGCATTTGTCAATGTATGTAGTGTATCAGCTGGACAGTGACTGGACAGAGAATGATACACTTATGACCATAATATGGCTCTGATCCTGTAGAACCAGTGTCTAGCATGGTCTGATTATTTTCCTGCTCAGACACACCTGACCTGACTCATCTGTTAATCACTTAGTTCAGCAGGTGTGAGTGGCTTTTACCTCTCTAGCATCCATAACCGTCCCCACACCAACAGTGAGAGTCATGGTGGGGACTTTAGACAGGTCATTCCCAAAGAAACGAGCATTGGCTACTATAGTGTCCTTAGCCAGAGTCTTCACTCGCGTCCTCGACACCAAACTTGAACCAGGCTCATTAAAGGCAATGTGGCCGTCTGGCCCAATACCTGCCAAAATAAGAGGAGAGAGTGATGAAAATATATTCTAGTTATTACCATGAATTCAAACTGTGTGCATCCTATTAAACTTGAACAAACAGTGCATAATACTTCCGCATAGGGTTAATTACACACTTCTTTAGACCAGATGTGCTTCCAGACTGCTGGTTGTACTGGGGAACACCAAATTAAGGGGGCACAGCCCAGTCTCTTTGAACAATTTGGGGAAAACAACTAATTGCAATTTTTCTGACAAATATTGTGACTGCAATTTAAATTACAATTATTTTCTATAAATTAAAATTCAGACTTGTTTCTTTTGGCCAAGAAAATCTTAGTGCACCTGACTGCCAGTCAGTTGTGGTTGTGTTGTCACCTACACAGCATGTGGATGTTTGGTTGCATCTGATTGGTTCAACACATCTACAGGCAGTTTTTAGTTACTAGGTCAAATTTCCCCACTTAAAACTTAAGACAACATTGTTGACAATGTAGGCTCAAATTAAAATTGCAGCTCTTGAGA